ATCACTCCCGGCCTTTGGTTTTGTACCTACAGGCGCAGACAAAGGAGTAGAGATGGAGGTGGAGGTAGACAAGGTGGTGACGGCTGCAGACATACCAAAGCCATACCAACACCTGCAAGATGTGTTTGATGAGGTGGAAGCAGACAAGCTGCCCCATCATACTGAGCATGATCTCCACCTCGAGTTGATAGAAGGAGGTAAGCCACCTCAAGGGCCCCTATACCTTAAGGGACCCAAGGAGATGTCCGAGTTGAGGAGGTACTTGGATGAGAACCTCGAGAAGGGGTTCATAAGACCATCGAAGAGCCCAGCACGATCACCAGTGCTCTTTGTACCAAAGAAGGATGGAGGTCTCAGACTCTGTGTGGACTACCAAGGTCTCAACGAGATCACTGTCAAGAACAGGGCACCATTGCCCCTCATCGAGGAGCAGCTGTTCTTACTCAGGAAGGCAAGGATCTATACCAAGCTAGACCTTAGAGCAGCATACAACCTCATCCAGATTGCTAAAGGAGATGAATGGAAGACAGCTTTTGGCACTCAGTTGGGACTCTATGAGTACCTAGTGATGCCTTTTGGCCTAGCCAATGCTCCAGCTCACTTCCAGTCATTCATCAATGACATCTTCCGAGACATCATTGGAGTATATGTAGTGGTATACCTAGATGACTTCCTGATCTTCAGTGACACTGAGGAGGTACATGTGAAGCATGTCACCAAGGTCCTCACTCGCTTAAGGAGCAACAGGCTCTTTGCTAAGCTGTTGAAGTGTGAGTTCCACACCAAGACAGTCGAGTTCCTGGGGTACATCATCAAGCCAATGGGCATAGAGATGGACCCAGAAAAGGTGCACACTGTCAAGGAGTGGCCAATGCCAGAGTCAATCCATGACATCCAAAGGTTCCTGGGTTTTGCCAACTTCTATCAAAGGTTCATAGCCCACTTTGCTTGCATAGCCAAGCCATTGACATCACTGGCAAAGCCTATAGAACGGTTCAAGAAGTTCGAGCTACCAGAGGAGGCCCAACAGGCCTTCCACAAGCTCATCCAGGCCTTCACATCAGCAGGAGTGCTTCAGCACTTCAACTACCACCTTCCAACAAGGTTGGAAACTGATGCAAGTGACTTTGCTATAGCAGGAGTACTCAAGCAGGAGCATGAAGGACGATGGCATCCAGTGGCCTTCTACTCTAGGAAGATGTCTTCTGCCAAGAAGAACTATGAGATCCATGACAAGGAGCTCCTAGCTGTGGTTGCCTGCCTCACTCAGTGGCGACACATGCTAGCTGGACTACCAAGCCAACTGGTCATCCTCACTGACCATGAAGCCCTCAAGTACTTCAAGTCACAGAGATGCATCACAGGTCGACAGGCTCGATGGGCAATACTACTAGCAGACTTCGACTTCATATTGCAGTATTGACCAGGAGACAAAGGTGGTGAACCCAATGCTCTCACCAGAAGGACAGACATGCAACCAGCTGGTGAAGAGCAGGATCACAATGTGAGGCAACTACTGTCTCCTCGAGTGTTCAAGGAGACAGCAGACCATGACTCGACCCTAGTGGCCCCTATGCTCTCGATGGAGTCCATAGCATCAAAAGGTCTCAAAGACCTGGTCAAGATCTTCCAGCCCTTAGACCAAGAGCTACAGGAGATACATAGGAAGAAGCCCTTTGAGCTCAAGGATGACCTATGGTACAGTGGAGGAAGGTTGGTTATCCCCAAAGTAATCATGCCAGGGAGGACCAACAACTGACACTCAAGGAGTGCCAAAGAGGTAGATGGACAGTCCCTCTCTGTAGAGCATCTGCGATTCATGGTGATGACCCAATGCCATGATGGTATCACTGCTGGACATGTAGGAAGAGATGCTACCATCAAGGCAGCTCAATGACATTACTGGTGGCCAAACATGGCAGCTTGGATTGCAGACTATGTAGCAAGTTGTCCTGTATGTGCTAGGTACAAAGCTCCTCGTCATCGTCCATATGGTTTGCTACAGCCACTAGCAACACCAGACAGGCCCTGGGGCTCCATATCCCTCGACTTCATCGAAGGACTACCACCATCGAAGAAGTATGACTCCAAGACCTATGACTCTATCTTAGTCATTGTCGACAGGTTGACCAAGTTCGCCATACTAGCTCCAACCCATAAGACAGTCATGGCTAAACAGACTGTGGTGTTGCTATATGGACACATGGTTAGACTTTTCGGATACCCAGATCACATGGTCTCAGACCGAGGCAGGCAGTTCATATCAGGAGCATGGAAGGCATTTGCAGAGCAAATGGGTGTGAAGCACTCACTTAGCACAGCCTACCATCCTCAAACTGATGGTCAGACAGAGAGGGTCAATCAGGTCATCGAGCAGTACCTAAGGATGTACTGCAACTATGAGCAGGATGACTGGGCTGACCTGCTGGACACTGCAGCATTTGTATACAACAACACGGTCCACAACAGCATTGGTGTCTCACCATTCTTTGCATGCTATGGATGGAACCCCAAAGCTCATCCTGACAACCCTCAATGACTAGGAGTCAATGATCCAGGTCACTTCAAGTACCTCATGGATGGAAAGGAGTGTTGCAAGTACCTCCAGGAGCAGATCAGAGAGGCACAACATAGATCAGTAGACCAGTATAACAGGAAGCACAAGGACATCGAGTTGAAGGTGGGTGATATGGTCTATATCAACCATCGAAACTGGAAGACAAGGAGACCCACACCCAAGTTAGATACCTGGTTTGCAGGACCCTACCCAGTTCAGGAATGGGTAGGACACCAAGCTTATCGAATCACATTGCCAGCAAACCTTAGGGTGCATGATGTGTTCCATGTCTCCATGCTCGAGCCAGCAAGAACAAGTTCTCTCCCTCAACATGCTGAACAGCCCACCATACCATCACTTCCAGATGAGGACCTCGACTTCGAAGTCGAAGCACTCATTGACAAACATGCACACAATGGGACTACAGAGTACAAAGTGTTGTGGAGAGGGTACTCAGAAGAAGCTGCTTCATGGGAACCAGTAGAGAACCTCAACTGCCCCGGCCTCATCCAGGAGTATGAGGTGTCGGAGGGGGGACGAGCGAGTAGACAAAGTAGAGAAAGGAGGAGAGAACAGGAGGAGTAGAGAGAGGAAGAGGAAGGATGATGTTGGAGGAGGAGTAGAGAGAGGAAGAGGAAGGATGATGTTGGCGATGTTGTCGAGGAGGAGGAGGAGGAGGAGGAGTCAGCATGAACCAGACCAGAGCATGCCTCAACGGAGCTCGGCTCTTAAGAGGGGGGTAGTGTCATGGGCCTGGATGCTCAAGAAGCAGGAGGGTCACTGGTTCATATGGCAGGAGCACAGGTATCGAAGACCTAGTTGATACCAGTAGAGCGCATGGTCGTAGTGCAGTCTCCATGGAGACCATGGACTCCTATGGACTCACATGCAAAGGAGAACCGAGCCACATGCGAGGAGGGCCAGGCACAGCCACAAGGAGGACCAAGCTCAAGGAGCAGGCACAGCCACGAAGAGGACCAAGCTCAGATGGTTACCACTCAGGGGCTCGAGAGACAAGAGTCATAGGACACTGGCAAGCAGGTCCTGAGGAAGAGGAGCAGTGTCGAAGGAGTCGACACCAGGTCATGAGGAGGAGGAGCAGTGTCAAAGGAGTTGACACCACTCAAGAGGCACAGGGGTGCCAAGCAGGAGAGGCCCCTGAGCAGTACTCAATGAAGAAGGTACTCTCTGGAGAGAGAGCAGGAGCAGCATCGCTGGCGAAGCTGTGAAGAGGTATATAACCATGCTTTCTCATCATCATAGGCCAAGTGGATCCTCATCCACTCTACTCACCATACAACTAGTCAATACTTTAGAAACATAAGTACTCATTAGTTACAGTCAGCATAGCAGCATTCTATCAAGGTTGCTCCTCATCGTAGTGTGTGTGTTGTATCACCACTACCTGACATCCGTAGGCACCCCATAGCAGGTTAGCAGTCTGGATATAGATAGAACTGAAGGCAGTAGTTCACTGCAGTCCGGGGATCACTTCAAGCATCAAAGTCAACACACTGGACACTCATGTTGATGCCACCAACCTTATCACCAACACCATCAACCTCATTCTCATCAACACCCACCAACCTTATCACCAATGTCATCAACCTCATCATCATCAACACTCACACCAGACCTTGGTGTCATCATAACCAAAGCATTGATATTGATCATGCCGAGCTACCCCTGAACGGAGTGTCCACAGAGGTCAGCCGAAACCTATGATAGTATATACAACGAACGCCACCTGCTGTCACTGTGCAACTTGATAGTCACTGATACTGAGACAACAGCTGTCGCACAGTTTGATAGTCACCAAGTATCTCGACAGACCGACCTGGGTTTCAGGCACGAGACCCCTGACATTAGAGTGGATCATTCAAGCAGCACCCCACAATCACGATGATGGACCAAGGCCTCAACAATAAGCTCGACCGGCTTCTAGCACTATTGGAAGCCCAACTCGAGCTCACCAGGCAAGGCCAATGAGAAGAACGTCTTCGCCATGCTCATCTAAGCGGAGAAGAGACAATTGAGTTCTCACCATCAGGAGAGCAGGTAGGAGGTGACGAATCCATGATAGGAGATCCCCAAACTCCTACACCAGCACCACGACCAAGACAATCTGTCTCATTCGCTGGTGCAGAAGAGCAGGACAACATCAATTATGAAAAGTACGCCTCACCCACCAGGCCAAAGTATTTCAAACCCAGGGTGGATCTGTATAGCAGGACTAGGATGGAACCTTATGTCCCAGACTTGGAGGAGGACCCTAGTGTATTGGCAGATCTCTCTCGATCCAAGCCAATCGCCACACCCTTTCCTAAGTTTAACCTGCGAGATGTGGAGATATTCATTCTCAAAGCCGAAGCCTGGTTTAAGTTTAACCAGGTATATGAGCAAACAAGAATGATCAACCACATGGGCTCTCAATTGGAAGGGAATGCATGGGAGTGGTGGACCTCCAAGCTCCAAATTGACAGGGCACATTGACAGGGCACGGGAAGGAAGGTTATTCAATGACTGGCACTACTTTACAGAGTGGCTGTCAGAACAATTCAATCCCCGGAATGCTAGAATGGAAGCCTACAACAAGCTGTTGGCTCTCAAACTCACTAGCGATGCACCCAGTGCTGCCACCTGCCATGTGGAACATTTCAGAGACCTGGAGGGACAAGTCAATCTGGATGATAATGAACTCATCATTGACTTGTTCCGAGGCAGTCTCACATGTAGTCTGCAAGAAAAGTTTGAGCATAACCCACCTGCAAAGAGGTGGGGATGGTACCGAGAGGTCGAAGATATCGACCGACAGAGGATGCTGCTACAGCAGTCCTCTGCTAGGCACCCAAGTGCTGCTCCTCCATGATTGAACCCAGGAATCCAACCAACGCCACCTGCTCAGAGTTCATTCCCCATTCAGCAACTGGCACAAAGAAACTCCGCTTGTACGCCGGCACCAATAACAGCAGGAAGCCCAAGCAGACCAACCAATTGGCTGCTACCTCAGCAGTATGTACCGGGCCCGAAACAAGGAGGCCCCACAGTACCAGGCAATAGCACTTGCCATATCTGCAAAGGTGTTGGACATTGGGCCAGAGACTGCCCAAGCAAGAAAGCGGACCCTCTGGGGCCACGACCTTTGGGTCCAAGAGTCATGGTAACCACGGAAGATCCCTTTGAAGAAGGGGCCACCAACTCAGGGGATGGGCATACAGGCAGCGCTGAAATGAGCGACCCTGATGACCTAGACTTCAGTCAATACCAAGTTCCTAATGACGCTAATCATGAGGAACCCCAAGATGACGACGACGAGGGAAATGACAGTGGGGTGATGCACTGATGGCATGCATGGCTCTACAAACCTCTTCGCCATCGTTGTGTATATATCAAGATTGCCAAATATGTTTCTCCACCAGCAAAGGAAAAGCAGTATTAGAGCTCACAGGAATGGTCCAAGACCATCCTGCTTGTATACTCACCGACACCAGTGCTGGCTTGTCCATAGTTTCAGATTCCTTTATCAGTAAGTACCTAATACCCACAAAACCCTCAAAAACAAGATCGATTCATGGTGTCACCAGACACCAGCTCATTATCAATAGCGCCACGACCATACAGGTGGTTATTGGCAAGCACAGCCTAGGAGTAGTCGAAGTATCGGTAGCCGATACCGCTGACTATGACCTTATATTGGGATTCACTGAGCTTAGAAGGCTCCAGCCCACCATACGATGGGACACAGGCCAACTAGAGTTCAAGTCCCAGGACCGGAAACGACCCCCTGAAGCTGCCGCAACTAGGGGCTTACAATCAAAAGTGTCAAAATCGGTCATAGTAGCAGAACTGTCACAGAATTCGATGAAAGCTGCTGTAACAGGCGGGCAAAAACAGGAGCTTGCCATAAGAGATAGCTTATCACCGATTCCAACGAAATCTGTGGCAATGGGCTCTAACAAAGAAAAAATGGCACAACCAACCATACATGGAAATGAGTTCATCTCAGCGAAGCACTTACTTCAGGCAGCTTTAGAGGATGGACCCATAGGGTTCATGTTATTGGAAGTACCACCCTCATCACTCCCGGCCTTCGGTTTCGTTCCTACCAGTGCCGATAAAGGAGTAGAGATGGAGGTTGAGATTGAGAAGAAGGTGACAGCAGCAGATATACCAAAGCCATACCAACACCTTCGTGATGTGTTTGACAAGGTGGAAGCAGACAGGCTTCCCCAGCATACCAAACATGATCTTCACCTTGAACTAATGGAAGGAAGTCAACTGCCTCAGGGCCCGCTGTATCTCAAAGGGCCTAAAGAAATGTCTGAATTGAGGAAGTATCTGGATGAGAACCTTGCAAAGGGGTTCATACGACCGTTGAAGAGTCCAGCAAGGTCACCTGTGCTCTTCGTACCTAAGAAAGATGGAGGCCTCAGGCTTTGTGTGGACTATCGGGGACTCAATGAGATTACTGTCAAGAACAGGGCTCTGTTGCCCCTCATTGAGGAGCAACTGTTCCTGCTCCAAAAGGTGAAGATCTATTCCAAGCTAGATCTCCGAGCAGCATACAACCTCATTTGCATCGCAAAAGGAGATGAATGGAAAACAGCATTTGGTACACAATTGGGACTATACGAGTACCTGGTGATGCCATTCGGGCTTGCAAATGCACCAGCTCATTTCCAATCATTCATCAATGTCATCTTCTGAGACATCATCAGAGTATATGTTGTTGTATACTTGGATGACTTCCTCATCTTCAGTGACACAGAGGAAGCACACGTATGACATGTCACTGAAGTCCTCACCCATTTGAGAAACAATCAGCTGTTTGCTAAACTGTTGAAGTGTGAGTTCCACACCACAGCAGTAGAGTTTCTAGGGTACATCATCAAACCCACAGGGGTAGAGATGGATCCTGAGAAAGTATGGACAGTCAAGGAGTGGCCAATGCCGGAATCAATCCATGATATCCAAAGATTCCTTGGCTTTGCCAACTTCTATAGGCGATTCATTGCTCACTTTGCTCGAATCGCCAAGCCACTAACATCACTGGTGAAACCAACTGAATGTTTCAAGAAGTTTGAGCTGCCAGAAGAAGCTTGACAAGCTTTCCACAAACTCATCCAAGCATTCATGACAGCCGGAGTACTTCGTCACTTCAATTACCACCTTCCTACAAGGCTGGAAACAGATGCAAGTGACTTTGCCATCGCTGGAGTGCTCAAACAAGAGCATGAAGGGTGTTGGCACCTGGTAGCGTTTTATTCAAGGAAGATGTCGTCGGCTGAGAAAAACTACAAGATCCATGACAAGGAGCTCCTAGCAGTGGTCACCTGCCTCACTCAGTGGTGACACATGCTAGCAGGACTACCAAGTCAGTTAGTCATTCTCATGGATCACGAAGCACTCAAGTACTTTAAGTCACAACATCGTATCACTGGCAGACAAGCAAGATGGGCAGTATTGTTAGCAGATTTCGACTTTGTGCTACAATATCGACCAGGAGACAAGGGTGGCGAACCCGATGCTCTCACCAGATGAGCTGACATGCAGCCGGTTGGCGAAGAGCAGGAGCACAATGTTTGACAACTACTGCCCCCCCTGGGTGTTTGAACAAGTCGAAAACGAAATCACAACAGGGAGTGAGTTGCAGCAGATTTCAGCCGAAAATGTAATAGCAAGCATGATATTGCTGATTTCAGCAGAATCGGTTCTAACTGCATGCTCAGGTGATGATTCTGTATTAGTGGCTCCCATCCTCACGATGGAGTCTATAGCCATGAAAGGAATCAAAGGTCTGGCCAGAATCTTCCAGCCTCTGGATCCAGAGCTTCAGGAGATCCATCTAAGGAAGCCATTCAAGATCAAAGATGGCTTGTGGTATAGTGGCAGACGATTGGTTATCCCCAAGGTAACAATGCCAGGGAAGACCAATGACCATCATTCGCGAAGCACCAAAGAAGTTGATGGGCAGTTGTTGTCTGTAGAACATTTGTGATTCATGGTCATGTCTCAATGTCATGATGGCATCACAGCTGGACATGTGGGACGAGATGCTACCATTAAGTTGGCCCAATGACACTATTGGTGGCCAAACATGTCAGCCTGGATTGCTGATTATGTCACAAGTTGCCAAGTGTGTGCCAGATATAAGGCTCCTCACCATCGCCCATATGGCTTGCTGCAGCCACTCACTACCCCGGACAGGCCATGGGGCTCAATATCCTTGGACTTCATTGAAGGATTACCACCCTCAAAGGGATACAATTCAATCCTGGTCATTGTCAACAGATTGACCAAGTTTGCTATTCTGGCCCCTACATACAAAATGGTCACAGTGAAACAGACTGCTGTGCTGCTATGGGGATATCTGGTTAGACACTTCGGTTATCCAGATCACATGGTCTCAGACTGAGGAAGGCAGTTTATCTCAGGAGCATGGAAAGCATTTGCTGATCAAATGGGTATGAAACATTCGCTCAGCACTGCTTATCATCCTCAAACAGATGGGCAAACAGAAAGGGTCAACCAAGTAGTAGAGCAGTACCTTTGTATGTACTGCAACTATGAACAGAATGACTGGGCTAGCCTGCTCGACACTGTGGCATTTGTGTACAACAATACCATGCACAATAGCATTGGTGTGTCACTGTTTTTTGCATGTTATGGATGGAACCCAAAAGCCCATCCTGATATTCCCCAACACCTAGGAGTGAACAACCCCAAACATTCTGAGTACTTGCTTGATGGCAAGGAGTGCTGCAAGTACCTCCAAGAACAGATTAGGGAAGCACAGCGCCATACAGTGGACCATTATAACAGGAGACACAAAGACATTGAATTCAAGGTTGGCGACATGGTATACATCAATTGCAAGAACTGGAAGACCAGATGACCAACACCAAAGCTGGACACCAGGCTTGCAGGACCATATCCAGTTCAGGAAAGGGTAGGATGTCGAGCCTATAGGATTACATTACCAGTGAACCTCTGAGTTCACAATGTGTTCCATGTGTCATTGCTCGAACCAGCTAGGAACAGTTCCATCCCTCAATGATCGACACAACCAATTGTACCACTGCTACCAGATGAGGACCTTGACTTCGAAGTTGAAGCCATTACCAGCAAACGGTTACACAATGGGGTGACAGAATACAAAGTGCTTTGGAGGGGGTACCCAGAGGAGGCTGCCTCTTGGGAACCATTGTCGCATCTCAACTGTCTTGACCTCATCCAGGAGTATGAGGTTTCGGTGGGGGGATGAAACTAACAAACACAAGGAAGAGGCGAAAGTGGTAAGGAAGGAGTTGGGACAGATTTGAGCGAAATCTGTGAGAGTAGAGGTGCTATTACAGATTTCGCGGAAATCAGTAGTTGAAGTAGCAGTATGACAGCCTTTCACAACAAAACAGGAAGCAGTGGTTTTCTCACTCACATGAGAAACCATAGATGAAGTAACCAATGAAACGAGGTCACAGGTATCACACAAGGGTCAGGACACAGGCTCAGAGTGATCACAAGGAAAACTACATTCAGGGTGCAACTATGTCACTATATGTCGACATAGCCAGAGGGGACGGAGGGAGTGGCAAGGGCCACACGAGTCCACTGCTCATCTATTGTAGGCTCCACCCATGAGTCGATGGGGTCGGGAGGACCACCAGATTCCGTCATGGACTCATGGGGTTGGTGCTTGGAAAACAAATGGTCGTGACGCTCAACATAGGACTGGAGCATATGAAGGAGTGAGCTTACCAAGTCTTGACAGCGGAGGTGCCAAATCATGTGCATCGCTGACACCCAGTCTTGAGTCATGACTGGGTCAATTGTCCATTCCTGGGAACAAACAAGACCAGGGCCATCGCCATCAGCCACAGTCAGGTGAGCTTGCTCAGCCTGATGCAAGCCCCACTGCTGCAAGCTGGGAGTCCCATTGCCAGGGTACTCCATGCCTGGGTGGGTGGGGATGGTATGCTTGCAATGCCCCAAGCCAGCTAGATAGCAATGGGTACAGGTGCAAGGAATTCTGTTGTGCTCACCAAAAGGATTGGTGAAGGCAGAAGCAAAACAACTGAGAAAAGCAAAAGTAGTGTTAGCATTGGAAGGGTAGGAAGAGCATGAGGAATAGGAACTTATGGAGTACCCAGATTGAAACACTGTTGGCACTGCCAACTGGGCCAGGGCATGCAACCCTCGGTAAGATGCAGCATGACCAACCGGTGTAGATGACGCTCAGGCAAGGAGCCAGCGGGCACATCCCAGTCCAAAGGTAAGTACCGGTCAGCAATCCAAGCCATGAGCTCGGCCACAAAGAACCTCTCGGACCATCTGGCGATCTCTCCATTCGTTGGTAGATGATGATTGGGAGGGGGAAGGGGAGGAGTCCGACGATCTACCCAGCGAGGAGGAGGGGTCAATGGCTGGACCTCCAGCCGATAAACAGGGGTACTTGGACAAATGGCATCCAAGACTGCATCAATGACCTTGTTGGCCATAGGAGGAGGAGTGGGGGAGTGAGCCAGCTCAGCCTCCCACACTGCCTGATGCTCCGGGGTCATCACCTCTACAGTGGGACGCCTCGCGTCTACTTCATACAGGTCAATCTCCGGAGAAGCTGGAGAGTAATCATTCCCCATGAGAGATGGGGCAGCACTGGCCAAAAGGGGGGAGGGAAGGGAACTGGGGGTGATGACATTGTCATCCATCCCCAGGAAAAGAGGTACCAGCGGCAACCGAGCTACCAGAGAAGCCAGAGGATTGGCTGCTGGAGGAGGAGGGAGAGATTTGGCTGCAGAAGTCGATCCCTCATGAGGACGAAGCCGGACCATGATCCGAAGATGTCTTGCAGGAGCAGTAGTCCCATCAGAGGAGGGTGCACTTGCGGCAGCCTGTGAGCGGGTTCGATATCATGAAGAAACCATGTTGCACATTGAGTTGGGTGGCGAGGACATGGATGGGTAATGATGAAGGAAGACATGACTCAGTACCTGCCTCAACGGAGCTCAGCTCTTAAGAGGGGGGTAATGTCATGGGCCTAGGTGCACAGAATGAGGAAAGACCGAAGTTCATATGAAGGTAGCACAGGAATCATGGAATCGGGTAGATTGGAGGAGCTGTGACAAAGTTCACCAAGATCGGTAGTAGAATCAGCTCTATGGCAGATCACAGCGAAATCGGCACGAGCATCGTCGATATCACGAATCCCACCAGAATCTGCAGCAAGCAAGATCATGTGGCAGATTCCATGGAGATCGGTAGTAAGGATGTCCATATGACGATTCACATGCGAGAGGGACCAAGCTCAGCAACACATGGTCAGTTACCACTCAGGGGCCCACAGGACAGGAGTAGAAGAGAACTGTTGCCAGTCAAAGGAAGGAGATCTGTGTATAGGACACTGGCGAAAGGGACATGAAGAGGAGGAGCAGTGTCGATGAAGTCGACACAGCTCAGGAAAGACAGGAGGGACAAGGCTTGAAATGGAGAAGGTGCCTCCTTGGAGATCCCTGTGCAGTACTCGATGAGGAGGGTACCCTCTGGAGAGAGGGAGCAGGAGCAGTGTCACTGGCGATGCTGCAAAGAGGTATATAGTCCTACCTCCTTGTCACAAATGGTCGAGTGGATCATCATCCACTCTACACTCATCAAGCAACTAGCATTACTTCAAGCAATAAGTAACGATAGTTCACAGTCAGCATAGTAGTAATCAACAGATTGCTCCTCATCGAAGCGTGTGTGTTGTATCACTGTTTCCTGACATCCAAAGGTGGTTCGTAGCAACCAGCAGTCCAGATAACCATAGAACTGAAGGCAGATGTCCACTGTGGCCCAGGGATCACTTCAAATGTTAGTCGACACACTGGACACTCGTGTCAGTGTCAACAATCCATACTCACACCAGACCATTGGTGTCAATATCAAGCTCATTTAGAGTTGTATCATAGTCTGATCGTGCCAAGCTACCTCTGGATGGAGTGTCCACAGCAGTTAGTCGAAATCTGTCACTATGACAATACAACTACAGATTCTAACAAGAAAGGTGACAGAGAAGGCTCTGTCGCATATTTCACTAAGAATCGAAATACCATTAACACTGTCACATAATTCAACAGAATCGGTGATAGTACTGATACTACTACTGATCTCAGGTTTCAGGCGCACGACCGCTGACACAATGTTTGTGCTGTGCAACCTCTGAACAGAGTGTTCAAGGCAGTCAGTCGAGACTTACCAGGCAGTGATGCTTGGTTACATTTAGGCGAAACATATTGAGTAGACCTTACTCAATCAAACTCAATAGCATCCCAAAACTAAGTCTCTGGCACGCGACCACTTACAGGATGGTATATAACCATGCTCCTCGTCGTAGCAAGTGCGTGGATCCCCATCCACTCTACACCATACATAACTAGTTATCACTTTAGCATAAGTATATATTAGTTTTCAGTCAGCATAGTCACAATCAAGTAGATTGCTTCCATTGCAGCATGTGTGTTGTATCACTGCTCACTGACATCTGAAGGCAGTTCATAGCAAACCAGCAGTCTGGATAATGATAGAACTGAAGGCAGTCATCCACTGTGGTCTGGGGATCACCTCAAGCATTCAGTTGACACACTGGACACTCATGTTGATGACATCAACTATCTCAATCACACCAGACCTTTGGTGTCCTGCAATACATTCAAGTTATTGATTGTGCCAAGCTACCTCTGGATGGAGTGTCCACAGTGGTCAGTCAAAACCTGTGTCATGGGCCTGGATGCTCAAGAAGCAGGAGGGTCACTGGTTCATATGGAAGGAGCACAGGTATCGAAGATCTAGTCGATACCAGTAGAGAGCATGGTCGTAGTGCAGTCTCCATGGAGACCATGGACTCCTATGGACTCACATGCAAAGGAGGGCCAAGCACAGCAACGAGGAGGACCAAGCTCAAGGAGCATGCAGATGGTTACCACTCAGGGGCTCGAGAGACAAGAGCCAAAGGAACTGTCACTGATCAAAGGAGAAGGAGCAGTGTCGAAGGAGTTGACACCAGGTCATGAGGAGGAGGAGCAGTGTCAAAGGAGTCGACACCATTCAGGAGGCACAGGGGTGCCAAACAAGCAGCAGGATAGCAAGGAGGAGGAGCAGTGTCGAAGGAGTCGACACAGCTCAAGAGGCACAGGGGTGCCAAGCAGGAGAGGCCCCTGAACAGTACTCGATGAAGAAGGTACTCTCTGGAGAGAGAGCAGGAGCAGCATCACTGGCGATGCTGTGAAGAGGTATATAACCATGCTTTCTCATCATCATAGGTTGAGTGGATTGGCATCCACTCTACTCACCATATAACTAGTTATCACTTCAGCATAAGTATACATTAGTTTCAGTCAGCATAGCAGCAATCTATCAAGGTTGCTCCTCATCATAGTGTGTGTGTTGTATCACCACTACCTGACATCCGAAGGCACCCATAGCAGGTTAGCGGTCCAGATATAGATAGAACTGAAGGCAGTAGTCCACTGCGGTCTGGGGATCACTTCAAGTGTCAAAGTCAACACACTGGACACTTGTGTTGATGCCACCAACCTTATCACCAACACCTTCAACCTCATTATCATCAACACTCACACCAGACCTTGGTGTCATCATAACCAAAGCATTGATATTGATCGTGCCGAGCTACCCCTGAACGGAGTGTCCACAGAGGTCAGCCAAAACCTACGATAGTATACAACGAATGCCACCTGCTGTCACTGCACAACTTGATAGTCACCGATACCGAGACAACAGCTGTCGCACAGTTTGATAGTCACCGAGTATCTCGACAGACCGACCTGGGTTTCAGGCACGAGACCCCTGACAACCTGCAATAGCAAACCCATTACTGCATCTTTGGGCAAGAAAAGTGATAGAGATGTCTCTACCACATATCCCAATAAGAATCATAATACCACTAGCATTGTCACATATCTCGACAGGATTTGTAATAGACACATTTCTATTACAGATATCAGGTTTTGGGCATGCGACCGCTGACAGAACACTCCTCCAGAGGAGCAGGGGGTGGTGCCATAGGTGGCACCTCCTCCAAACACATAAATACTATCACTTTGCCATAAGCATATGAGTGGATCCTCATCCACTCTACTCTTTATCTTACTACTCTTTACTTGACTCATATCATTGCAAAGCTATGCTATTGCAATGACATCTTGAATGTGTGTGTTGTATCACTGTGGGACATCAACTGTAGGCAGTGTTCCTCAACACCTGCAGTCCAGTTCATCACTGTAGGCAGTGTTGCTCAACATCTGCAGTCCAGTCAGTTACTGTAGGCAGTGTCAACACACTTGCAGTCCAGTACCTCCCATCATCTGTAGGCAATAAGTCTTATTGTGGTCCAGATGACAACAAGAGCATCTAGCACTATGAACACTCATGCTGCAATAGGAGAGTTGTGTCTGATATCACTCTCACCTCAATGTGTTATGGATGTGCTGCATAGCCTCTGAACAGAGTGTTCAAGGCAGTCAGCCAAAACCTACCAAAACTCATCTGTCTGGTTACTTTCACCTGAAACATAACAAATAAGGCTTACTCAGTTGATCCCACCGAAATCAACCGGAAGCACCCAATCTGGTTTCAGGCGCGCGACCGTTTACAAATCCCATTGAAATGCCGACGCATCTTCAACTGCGCCAACTTTGGGTTGAATTTTGCGTCTTTTGGTGAAAAGGGGCGTTGGTGACAAGTCAGACGAGCCAGACGAGCGCTCTTTTGGCTGTAGTCGAGTGGAAAGTTGCATGAAGCCGACTTTTTGCTGTGACGCTGGTTGATTACAGTAGTCACAGTCAGTGAGTGGTACATACACAGCTAGAGTGCTGCTTGATGATTGTGATTGTTCAGGGACCTGATGACCAGCAAACAGCTGCATCGGCTGTGACTCCTCCACTGCTGCTCCGGCTTGTAGCTTGTACTCCCTTATCTCGGTCCATAGTCAACCGACGTCCGCCTCGCCAACACTCGCACTCCCTCCTCATTCACCTCCTCATCTCACATCACGTCTTGTCTCACCATCATCATCATCAAGCACACACCAGCCTCACAGCGCACAAGTCTTTACTCTTTCCGCTTTATACCCCTAACCCTAGCAGACTGCTCCATCTGCTTCCATAGCTCCAACCTAGCCTTCAGCCCGAGCTAGCAAACACCACGCATCCATCTCGGCCTACAACGCATTCAGGATCTGTCAAACAAGATTACAAGGACATCCTCAGACAGCATCCAGCTCGTAGCACGGTCTGCCTCTCAAGCTCATCCTCAGACAGCATCCAGCTCGTAGCACGGTCTGCCTCTCAAGCTCATCCATCTCTCTCACTTGGTGAACAGCAGTCTCGTCACCGCCAGTCCGCGAAAGCAAAAGTCATCTTTGACGCTGACGCATTGTCCTCCTCCGAGGTCAACGATCCCTTCCTACCCGCAAGCAAGTCAACAGACACATCACAGAACTCTGCAGAACAACTGGAGCTAGAAACAAAGCCCAAGATGTTGACGTTACGGTCTCTCGTGCCCGTCTTTGTCGTCGGCATGTTGCTGACCGGCATCAGCAACTCGCTTCTCAACAAGTACCAAGATATGCAATGTATTGCCAACTGCGACTCACCCGACCCAAAGAGAAGACAGGAGTTCTCTCAGCCCGTCTGGCAAACTCTGCAGATGTTCCTCGGCGAATGTCTCTGCTTGCTTCCCGTACTTCTACGAGCGCTGTACGGTCGCATCTCTGGCAACAGCGCAAGAGACGCAGCTCTCAAGAAGCCTTTACTTACACCTCCCCCTGATTCGGGCATCGTATTCGACTCTTCGCCTCGTGACCGCGGTACCTCTGCCGTCTCTAACTACGAAGCTACTCGAGGTCGCGTGCACACCGGTGGCCCCACCCATGCTCCCACGGAACCTTCCGTTCCTGCTCCACCTTTCGAGATCGCTTCCCGCGCCGTGCAACCTGGCGAGCTCGGCGAATCCGAATTCACCAACATGAACGACAGCAGCTACATCAACGCAGTCGATGCCGACGAGATGGGCGCTTTCAAGGGCGAAGCCATGTCTGGCAAGGCTATTGGACTCTTCTTCATGCCCGCACTCTGCGATATTTGCGGTACAACGCTCATGAACGTCGGTCTCCTCTTCACACCTGTCAGCATCTACCAAATGACAAGAGGTGCGCTCGTACTCTGGGTCGGTGTGTTTTCCGTTATCTTCCTCCGACGACACCTTCACATGTTCCAGTGGCTCAGTCTCGTCACTGTCATGATGGGTGTCTCTGTCGTGGGTTTATCCGGTACCGTATTCAAGTCTCCTGAAGCAGCACCTTCTTCAGAAGGGGGAGACGATGAGATCCCTGAAACAGCACAAGCGCTTCTCGGAGTCCTTCTCATCCTTTTTGCCCAGCTCTTTACCGCATCTCAATTCGTACTTGAAGAAAAGATCATGTCACGCTACTCTGTCGAACCTCTCCTCGCTGTAGGATATGAAGGCTTATTCGGCACACTCACGACCCTCATCGCTATGCCTTTGCTGCACTACTTTATTGGTCGAACACCCGAAGGTCGCGGTGGGTACTTCGACATGTCCGCTGGCTTTTATCAGATCATGTCTGTCCCTGCGGTCCTGAGATCTTCAATTGCGATCTGCTTCACGATCGCCTTCTTCAACTTCTTCGGTCTATCCGTCACTCGTAATGTCTCAGCGACCGCGAGGAGCACCATTGACACTTGCAGAACTCTGGGTATTTGGGTTGTCTCGCTAACGCTAGGTTGGGAAACTTTCAAGTTGGCAAGTGGAAGTACGCAGGTGTTGGGTTTCATACTGTTGGTGTACGGAACTTTCTTGTTCAACGGTATTGTTAGGCCTCCTGGTTGGTGTAGTCCTGATGCTGGGAGAGGTGGGTATGGCAGAGTGGCTACAGATGAGGGTGATGCTTCTGAGACTGATGAACGTCGTGCTTAGATCCCGAACACGGTGCTTCCTTCCTTCCCAGAGTCTCAATCTTCGAATTGTAGATCCAAATTCTTGCTTGTACTTCTAGCAACAATCCATACCATCCTACAGTCCCAGCGTCTGCTCACACACTTCGTTCGTCGTAGCAACAAAGCAATACAGCAAACCATGATACCATTCCACATCCAAGTCTGCTCCGCGTGAAAGCGGACCTTGTCGTCCTGAGCTCAGTACAGGAATAGCAACCATTGATACGAGCTCCGTTCAGAAATGGGAATTGACAAAGCGAGCTCCGTTTGAAAGCGGACTTCAACGACAGGAGCTCCGTCTTGTAACGGGATCGATTAGGCGGAGCTCAATGTGCGATCGACGTGTCTGTCCAATGTCTCGCTGCTTCACATCCTCCAAAACCCACTCAACATGCTCGTTTGAGGATGTTTCGTATTTCGCACATGCTTATTGCTACCATCGTCTATTTGTGCCAGCTCCGTCGAGAGACGAGTTGCGCGAGATCTTCGCTGCCAGCCCCGCTATCTTGCTTCTTTCGAGAAGTCACACAGCTCCCGCATGGAGCGTGAGCATGAAGCCAGTCTCTCGGCCGCCGACAGCGGCTCAGACCTCTTTCAGAACGCCAAGACCTTTCAGCTCACTTCGAAAACACGACTTTATCACAACTACTTCAGCCGTTGAAAGCGATGCGACAACAACTTTTGACATTTCGACCAAAACAAGTAACATAAACTAAACAAACAAGCGAACTGAGAGCATCTTGTTGAAACAGCCAAACTATGAACGGGAAACGACAACATGAAAGAGAAGAATGCATGAGCAGCTACGAAGCGTTGAGCTCCATTACTACTCATTTCCGAAACCCATACCTTCCTCAATAGCTAACGCGAGTTTGCTTTCCAAAGTCTCGAACGAAGGATAAGGAGGAATATCAATGCGGTTGAAGCAAGTATGTGACTTGGGAAGCTGGTTGACATCTCCGGACTTCTCGATCGTGAAGCGTCTTGGACCATCCGAACCCTGAAGATCTTTGAATCCGTTGACAGGAATACGTGATGTACCCGTAGCAAACTGCAAAAGACGAGACTTCTTCTCTGTAGGCCAAGCACGAACGCACTGCCAGAACCACTGGACCACCTGATCTTGCTCCGTGAATCCACGGTAGTCGGTGAACTTCTTCCAGTCATCGACGTCAATCTCGGACATACCACCAATGAGCAACTCCAATTCGCGCTCGTCAAACACGTTGATCAAGTCCTGAGGAATCAACTCGGTGAAACCGGAGATAAACGCCTTGAACTGCTCCTCGACACGCTTCGAGATACGCCATTCGGTCATGAGCTCAATATACTCCTTCTTGTTCTCGTCTGTCACCTCGATCTCCTCTCCTCCGGGCTTGAGCTCGACAGTAACCATCTCGCCGAATTTATCCTCAACGGCGGTAAAGGTCTCTTCGACAATACCCTCGATGCTGTTGTCGAGCATCCATTGGAGCGAACGGTGATAGTCGGCATCGACCGACTCGAGATCGCTGAGCGTGATCTTCTTCTTGAGGATCATCTTGTAGAATGAGACGATAAAGTAGGCGTCGAGGAAACGTCGGTGGAAGATAGCAAGACCAAGAACACGACCAATGAACTTGAAGTAGTTCAAGTGCTCGGGATTGATGCCCGAGTGAGGGTTGATCTGCAACGTGTAGTTGTCATGAGCACTGTACTCGAAGAGACAGTAGAACGGGTTGAACATCTCGTGAGAGAGCAAAAAGAAGAACTCTCGCGAAAGACCACCATAGTCGAGACCGTCTTCGCCGTCGAACTTGATCATGAGACGCTTCTTGAGATCATTAGGCTGCTGACGCATGATCTCGGCATAGGAGTCTTCAAAAATGTGCGTACGACGAACCTTGATGTGGCACTGACCGGGAATGGGACGGAGCGCAGGCTGACTTCGGAAGTAGATGAGCTTACGACGGAAGTCCCGCTTGTACTGGGGCACGTTCTGGTCGAGACTCGAGGGCAGTCGAGGGTCATCCCATGTGGTGGTCTTGGTGTTGTGGTCGACAAAGTAAACTCTGGCAGTTGAGGTGAGACGCATCTCCCATCCACTGGGCAAGGGACCAAGTTGCGACACACTCTGCGGCTGAACGGTGAGGTTGCTGCCGTTAGGGCCCATGATACGGAGGATCTGCTGTCGTCGCGGGTCGACCCAGGTAGTGGTTCGGGTGTTGTGGTCAACAAAGTAAGGACGGCCTTCTGGTGTGTGACGCTGCTCCCAACCTGCGGGCAAAGGTCCGTTGCCGGCGGTGGTGCTGGAGCTGGCGGGTAGAGGGTTGACAGATGAAGCTGCAGCGCCAGGGCTGTTGACGGCAGATCCCGTCGCTGAAGCTCGCGAGGTGTCGCCATCGCTGACACCGAGGAAGTCATCGGCGAGAGCACGATTGCTGTGTCGTTGACGGTCAGCAGCCGACGTGCTTGCGGCGGCGGCAGTGTTGGCGCTCGGGTTAGTCGAAGGTCTGGTCCAGGTGGTGGAGCGAGTGTTGTGGTCGACGTAGTATGTACGGCCGAGGTGATCTGTTCTCCTCTCCCATCCAGCGGGAAGCGGACCGTACTCGTCCGAGCGGGTATCTTGAGCATTGGTGGTGCGAGAAGCAGGAGTCTGGGGGGCAGCCGAGGACCTGGCCTCGCTTGTGCCGCCTGTCGAGGCTGAAGTTGCAGCCGTCGAAGCACCTGCTTCGGATCCAGATGCGGCAGAAGATGCGGGATCGACTGTGGATGTGGGTCGGCTGGATGCATCACCGCCTGTAGTGGATGATGCAGCCGTGGCGGCTACGGGGGTAGCAGCACCGCTGGCGAAAGTGGAAGGGCGAGTATCGGGGCGTGTAGCGATGGACGAGGCTGGCGTAGCGAGCGAGGCAGACGAAGCGTTGGAGGTGCCGGGCACAAGCAAGTTGGTGGGGCCTGCGGAAGAGTTGTTGTTGATGGGTGTCGAGACATTGGTGTTGAGGTCGATGATGAGCTTGCCATGCACGACAAGGTTGTCGTTCGACTTTTTCAGCTCCTTGTTGAGCAGACGCTTGCCGCCAAGCTCGAGGTCAAGGACGTCGGCAACACGAATGTTGATGACACCGAGGAAGCCTTGATCGCGCTTCTTGAACTTCTTCTGGTCAAAGATCTGAACAGCAATGACGGAGGAGTCGGCCACGTTGACATCGAAGCTGTCGTTCCAGTATGGGTTGAGTGTCTTTTTGATGACGGAAGTAGAGTGGGTCTGCTCTCCATCGACGGTGACAATGGCGAAAGGATCGGGGAGACGGAACACATCGCGCTTGGCGAGGCCGTCTGCGGCAACGACGGTGATGCGGATTTTTCTCGTAAGAGAGCCGGGAGTACGAGGATTGACCATTATCGATGTGCTAATGTGTCAGAAAGTGATTGGATTGTTGAATGTGGGGATCAGGTGTGTGTGTGCGGATAAGAAGAGGTCGAGTTTCCGCTGGACGAATGATGTAGAGTTGGGGTGTAGTATGAGGTATGAAGCTTCTTGAGAGTTTGATGCTGTCGATGAAGGTTCAGCGAGGTCGGTTCGTCGAAGCCAGCAATGAAGAGATGCAAAGTTCGGTCGGTGCGGGACCACGTTGCAGCCAATAGCCTGGTAGTGCAGACGTCTCGGCGCAGTGCTGGATGGTGCAAACAGCGATAAGAGCTGTACTGTGCGATGTGGCAACAGCAGCGAAGTAGGGGGAATGTTTGTTGCAACCTGGCTCAAGGTCGGAGATGATGGTGATGGTAATGGAAACGCGAAGGAAAGATAATGACTATGTGATTGATGGCAACCAAGAATAGCACCGCCCACCACACCGCACCGCAACGAACGGGCAGGAATGACACAGGTGGAGAAGGCTCAAGTTTTGGCTGGGAGAGATGCGGTCTGAGTTGTGTGTGCGCGTGCGCTGAGTTGCGTTGTGTGCTGTGCTGCCCACTTTGACGGCGGCATCAAAAGAATAACGCGACACTGGCGCTGCTCTTGAGGTCCTTTGAATTTCGAAATTGAAGCCGAAGCAAAAGGCAACGAACGGCTTGTGCGATTCCGATGTGTGCAATTCTGGGCTGGACTGTGCTGTGGGTTTGTTGCACCGATCTGAAATCTCAGTCATTTTCTTGCTGACAGATTATTGTTACGCCTGTACCTTTGAAAAGGTTGCCATCATTTCGAACTGATTTGTTTTCCGAACCATCAATTCATACCATAGCATAGACAATACGAGAGCATAAAGGAAGGTTAAGATTGCGGGATGAGCATGAGTGTGCTCGCAACCTCGAGAGGCTCCCGGACCTCCAAACGTGCAAGGGGCAAACCAGTTGCACAGCAAGGTCCAGTTTTGCTGGAGGAGACAGGAGCCAGAGGCTGAGGAGTCATGTCATAGGACCAGGTACGCAGAAGAAGTGCCATCTGCACAAATTGTGGAATCGGTCAGACAAATGGGTTTCAACAGAGTTCACCAAGATTGGCAAAAGAGAGACCTTACAACTGAACTTGTCAAGATCAGCAAAACAGGGGCTGTATGACAGATCTTGACAAAACCTAGCACAAGGAGCTGATCACACCAATCTCACAAGATACACCACCATGGAGAAGACAATCAAGAGGAAGGGGACAGGTGACCCTGAGCAACAGAAGGACAATAGATGTGGAGGGGCTCACCACTCAGATGAGGTAGCAGCCCTATGCAACAATGAACTTGGCATAAGAGGATGGGTGCTGGCATCCAGGACCAGATGAGAGAGGGTGCACCTCACCACTCAGATGAAGTAGTACTTATCGCACTCTTTACTTTGTCCCATACCGTGCAATTGCAGAGCATTGCAGGTTACCTCAAGCGCTTGTGTCATATCATCCTTGGGGCATCTTCCAAAGGCAGTGTACTCCACTGCGGTCCAGCTTATAAACCATCCATAGGCAATACTGTATTGCAGTCTGGTCATCACCACATTGTCAAGCAAGCACTACAAACACTCATGCCTCTGCTGCCAACACCACCTCACCCTTAGCACTCCTCAAAAGAAATGTCATCTCATTGACATGCTGTGTAGCCTCTGAACAGAGCATTCACAGCAGTTAGTTGAGACCTACTATTAATCAATCTTAGAACCTATTCCATGAGACTACAATGTAAGGAACTGTTATTGTGGTTCTCATGGAAATCTACCATAATGGGTCTTTATAGCAGATCCCATGTAAGGACATACTATCACACTTCTCACTGAAATCTGCCATAGTAGATTTCTACAGCCTTTTAGGTTTCTGGCACGTGACCGCTTACAGCGGGTATATATAGGTATAGCCACTACTACATAAGAGAGTTGAAGGTATGCGATACACCACTTTGTCTGGGCTATGTTCTAGCTCCTTTTGCACAGGTGTATGATAGATGCAATGCTTGAGGTTTCTCATGAACTATGTCTACAGTATCACTTGTATATATACCTTTAGCCCCCTGTTGAGAATCCCTATTGTCACCCACTAACTGAGCATACCATGTGTTGCCTCAACAATGTCTTCCTTGTGCCTTGGCATTATCTGCCACAAGTGTCTCCTGATTGGTTGCCACACATTGAACATGCATGTTTGTTCCTCAGACTCTCGGTGACTCGGCTTTCTTGCATCTCGGCTAAAACTCCTGGTAATTCCGTTGCATCTTCAACTAAGAGCCATGCGTTTACCCAACTCAAAAGGATGGTATCTTTCTGTCATGGAAACTGCTCAGGAAGATCCGAAATGAGGTATGAGGAGCTTTGTGTGCTCAAATTGCGAAATCAACCGGATCACAGGTTTCTGGTTGATTTCCCTGACAACAACTGTCAGCGGTCATGCACCCAAAACCTGATATCTGTAATAGAACCACATCTATTACGAATTCCATCAAGATATGTGACAGCACTTGTGGTATTAAGTACTATGGTAATGGTCTCTACCAATGCTTCCCCCCCCCCTGGCTGGGCCCTACTCCTCCTGCTCCTGAGATGAGGGGGACCAGTATCATCTCATCACTGATAGGGGCCACCCCACTTCATCCTAATGACAATGCACATCTCTCTCCTTCATCTGCCTCATGACTTTGGCACCCATCTTCCTGTGCTGATCTCATCATTGTGTAAGGCCCCTACCTCATCTGGTGGTGACCTTGACTGTCCTTGTCTCTAATCCCTACTGAAACCATCATACAATCACCCTTGCTACTGATCTCTGTGGAACATGTCATATGATCCTGTTTACTACAGATCTGGGTGGAATTTGTGATACCATTGTTGCTTGTGCCAATCTAGGCAAGATCTGTGTTAGAGCCTTGTCTCCTACAGATCTCAGTGAACTCCACCACAAGTCCCACGATTTGCCTGATCCCTCGATTCCCGCACTCCCTTCATATGACTTGATGGGTCTTCTTGCTTCCTGCGCATCCAGGCCCATGACATGTATACTTTTATGTGAAAGCTATAACTAGTAGTGTATGGTGTAGAGTGGATGGGGATCCACTCAACAGCTACAATGAGGAGGGAGGTTATATACCATCCTCACAATGTCACCTGCAACACTGCCTTCACTCTGGCACACCTCTCCAACACTGCTCCTCCTCTTTCCTGTCTCTCCTATTCATCCTGCGATGCTGCTCATCAGCACTGTGTCTCTTTCTGCTCATGGATGGACAGCCCTCGCATTGTTTCATCATTGCCAGGGGCTATTCCCACCTCATCTGAGCACCAGTTCACACCCCCTCTCATTCCTCCCTTCTGCCCACTTGGGGTTCATTCCTGAGCAGGTCCCCTGCTTCATTGATGGTGGACCCAGATGTCTTTGCCACCCATCCATGGTATTGACATTTGTCTCATGGTGAGACTCATGAGATCAGCACCTCCCTTGTGGGATCTGTCATACAATCACAATACTACAGATTCCAGCAGGTTTTGCTGTAACCTCCCATTTGTACCAAATTGGTCAGGAGCTGTAGTAGAACTGACTCTACTACAGGTCTAGGTGGACTCTGCTGTAAACTCTCGTTTTCACCTGATTCTGCAATTCCTGTGCTCTCCTTCATATGAATTCAGGTCTTCCTGCTTCCTGTGCATCCGGCCCCATGACAACAGTCATCGCAGCGTATGTGGATGACATGCTAATAACATCACCCACTTGGAAGGAAGTAGATCACACCAAGGCTGTGTCAGCGGTCACATGCCCAAAACCTGAGATCGGTAATAGAAACGCGTCTATTACGAATCCTGTCGAGATATGCGACAACTCTTGCAGTATTACGATTCTTGTCGAGATATGTGTCAGCAGTCGCACACCCAAAACCTGAGATTGGTAATAGAGTTGTGTCTATTACGAATTCTGTCGAGTTATGCAACAATGCTTGTGGTATTGCAATTCTCAGCGAAATATGTAGTAGAGCCATCTCTATCACTTTTCTTGCTTGGAACTGCAGTAAGGGTTTTGCTATTGCAGGTTTTGACTGACCACTGTGGACACTCTGTCTAGAGGTAGCTTGGCATGATCAATAATGATGTGAACTTGTACTGACACCAAGGTCTGGTGTGAATATGATTGCTGGTGACATCGACATGAGTGTCCAGTGTGTTGACTAAGTGCTTGAGGTGATCCCTGGACCGCAATGACAAGAAGGTATGCTTATATACATCTTTTGTAGTGTTGCCTGTGACACTGCTCCAGCTCTCTCTCCAGAGAGTACCCTCTTTGTCGAGTGCTATACAGGGGTCCCTGTAGCACTGCTCCTGTCCTTCTTGAGCTGTGTGTCGACCTCCTCAACACAGCTCTTCCTCCTCATGAACTATATGCCAGTGTCAGTGACACAGCTCTCCTTCCTCCTAACCAGCGACTGTTCTCTTGACTCCTATCTTGTGAACCCCTGAGTGGTAACTGTCATGGGCCTGAATGCTCAAGAAGCAGGAGGGTCACTGGTTCATATGGAAGGAGCACAGGTATCGAAGATCTAGTTGATACCATTAGAGAGCATGGTCGTAGTGCAGTCTCCATGGAGACCATGGACTCCTACGGACTCACATGCAAAGGAGGACCAAGCCCATATGCAAGGAGGGCCAGGCACAGCCACGAAGAGGACCAAGCTCAAGGAGCATGCAGATGGTTACCACTCAGGGGCTTGAGAGACAAGAGTCAAAGGAACTGTCACCAGTCAAAAGAGAAGGAGCAGTGTATAGGAAACCAGCAAGCAGGTTCTGAGGAGGAGGAGCAGTGTCGAAGGAGTCAACACCACTCAGGAGGCACAAGGGTGCCAAACAAGCAGGATAGCAAGGAGGAGGAGCAGTGTCGAAGGAGTCGACACAGCTCAAGAGGCACAGGGGTGCCAAGCAAGCAGGAGAGGCCCCCTGAAC